GAACACATATTCATCATACTTCATTTTATTTTGCTTGCATAAAATATCTGTGAAAATACATTTTTTGACCCAAACTAATACCACTGATGATTTGATTTGTGGGATCTATTTTTTTCCATGGCTTAACTCTTTCCCTAATATTCCTGTCTTGAGCCACAAAGAACTGATAACAGATTTCAGGGTTTTTTTTTAAGAACACAAAATAGTATTCCAATGCAACTCTAATTCAGTTTCCACTTTTAAAATACATTACGTATTTTAAACAAACTAGGGGCCCAAATACATCACATTGCTTTATTTAAAATATTTCTGTTTTGCAAAAAAAAAAAGTTTTCACCTGCCATTCTGAAAGTGAGACAGTAAAATGATACCTTCCTCCTTCTGATCCCTGCAGTTCAGCTGCACGTGTCAGGCAAGGAAGCCATCCTGGGCACTCATGCAGTCACACAACACCCCACAAGTTTGGCTCTCCTGGCTCCTGTCCAGTGACAAGGTAGTGGTCCTCCTCCAATGTGCCTCAGAGCTTCAGGGACTGCTGTGTAAGCACTGTCATAACTAACGGACATGTGGGTTGATAGTATCAGGAAACCGGGAAACGCTGGATCCGTGAAATGCTGTGCAAATGCAGGGTTCATAGCTTATAGTGATTGCTCAATTCCAGAGTCTCCTAGACTTTTACTAACAGGAAAGTCTGAATAGGCAACTCACACCAACATTTTTGACAAGAATTATGAAGTGGCTGGTCAGCATTATCCCATGGTTTGTGTTTCTGTAAAACATGGCTAAAAGCTTACAGAGTAAGTGAGAAAGTGAGATGCGTGTTGAAAAGAGGAGAAAGAATGCCCCAAAGGAGCTCAGCAGACTTCAAAGCATTCTCAGAGTGGACAGGACATTCTGATGAAGGGTGTTCGAGAGGTAGCAACTGTGGTAGTCCCCAGACATGACCAAGAGAAAATGCAGAGTGTGGTGAAAGATGAAAAAGATGACGTGAAAGTGGAGACTGACGTCAAGAGAAACAAGAAGACTCTTCTCGACCAGCATGGGCAGTACCCAGTGTGGATGAGCCAGAGGCAAAGAAAAAGGCTGAAGGCAAAGAGAGAGAGAAGAAAGGGGAAAAGCAAGGCCAAGGCGGCTAAGGCAGCGAAGGGTTTGGCCTGGTAGACTCTGAGCAGTGTGGAGAGTGCCACAGACAGATGTCTGGTGAGGACGCATATCTAGACTTCAGCTCCCAGCAAGACCAACCTGTGCTGTTTCCTTCAGTTCACACCCAGCATGTCTCTTCAAGTTTGTTTTGGGAGCTTTGAACAAAGCATTTCTTGGATGGGTGGAAGCTGTGCTCCTTTCAGCTGGATGCTGCCCCATGTCCTAGTGTTACCAGACGTCCACAGTCTGGTGGTAACATGGTTGTGGGTAGCGTTCTGACAACCTGATATCTATAGTCAGTGAGGATAAGACAGTTGATACCCTGACAAAAAAGAGTGGACTCAGCTATGATATGTCAGTCAGTAGATCTTATCAACAGTTACTTCTTTGAAGTTCTGATTTTGTATAATTCAGAATAAAAGATACTTTGCATGTAGACCTCAAAAAGAAAAAAAGAATTATAAAGTGTATTAAGTTTTATATTAAGTATTTTAGATAGTTGTAAAATATCTTTTGTTAATTTTTAAAGTTTTAATCTTTTTAAACTTGTATTAGAGTGAGTTCATTCCAGACAGAAGATAATGAGGAAGTTTGATGAGATTTTGCTTAAGATCCTTTAGGATCCCATGATTTTGTAATTTCTGAGATGCTGAAAGAGTTTTCCAGTCTCAGAGTAGATTTGATTTATCAGGCGACTATAGACAACATTGTCAATAATGAGGACTTCCAATACGTTTCCTTTGTGTGTGATTTGTTAATGCTTACTGTATATGAGAAAAAATGAAGTTATAATAAATTCCTGACTTCTATTTAGTAGAATGCATTATTAACATATCTTTTTTAACTCTTTCAGTGAATAACCCCATACCTTCCAATTTGAAATCAGAAGCAAAAAAGGCTGCTAAAATATTAAGAGAATTCACAGAAATTACTTCCAGAAATGGACCTGACAGGATCATTCCTGGTAGGTAAATAAGTGTTGTTTATCTCCAGGCTTGTCTCCTGAATTGCGTTTTCCTTCCTCACCCTTCATTTCAGGCACAGAGCCTCACCAATATCAGCAAGTACTCTGACCCCTGCTTTTTCTAGCTGATGGGGGATGTGCTGAGGCCTCTCCCACCTCTCTGACCTGGAGGCCTTCCTAGCTGGGCCAGGAGGCCCTGGGAAACCCACTAGGGGCTTCCAGCCCCTGAGTCCCCACCCTTCTTTGCTCCCCAGCCTCCACATGAGGCCCATGTCCTGCCTGGCCTCACTCAGACGGCCTTTGCTTTCTGTCACTCTGAAAACTCTACAAGCTGACCTTGCATAGCTCATCTTATGAACAGATGTCGATTTTATGTTTTCTCTTCCCTAACCAGCTGTGTACATTCTATCAGGTTTAAGAAGACCTTGGTTGATAATTCCCAGCAATACTCCCAAACCACTGACATGCAATTCTTAACCTCACTCCAGCCTACTGAATCACTTTCAGAGCAGTGTGGTCAGGAATGCATGTTTTTAATATGTTCCTCATCTAATTCTTACGTAGTCAAGGTGTCCACATGAGACTGGATCCAGAGGGGAGCCTCTGGAAACTACTATCTGTCCATTAGCACTTCCAGCATACTTACCTCACGCAAAGAAGGTAAGTGTACCAATTAGCTGGGCAGTGTTGCAGAACAATCTCCCTTTAATCACAGTGCACGAGTCTGAGTCCTCCATTCAAGAAAAACCAGTTTAATTTTCCTCAGCCAGATTTCCTGACATTATTACATAGATCTTTAAACTATTTTTTAATTTTATTATTGTCATTTATTAACAATGATTTAGTTAGTGTCACATCAGCCCAGCTATTTCTCCCACCTTGAGAAAACAGGTGTGTACAGCCAGGCTGTGGAGCACTGTCCCCTGGGGACTCATGAGAAACCGCTCAGATCTCCTGAGTCAGAATCTGCATTTCTAATGGGGTTCCCAGCAAGTTACCTGTACATATAGTTCTAAGGAGCGGTGCTTTAGAGATTAAGGAAAATTCACCAAGAAAAACTGAATTTTCAGTAGCAATATTCTGAAACAAATGACAGAAGACATTTCCTGATGTGTATACCACCCAGTCACCTGCACACCTTCAACAGCTTTGACAAGAGGCAGCCAGACTGCTGGCTCCTTGGCACTGTGTGGCCTCCCTAGTGCTAAGGGCTCTGAGCTGCAAGTGAAACTAATTCAGAAAGTACACCTACACTTAGTGCATGCTATGTTATAAGTGAAAAGCTAATTGAAAAATTATTTAGGGGTTGTTGGTGTCCCTGAATTTGGGTAGATAATCCATAAAAACTTAGTTAATGTATGGAATATGTTCATTTAAAAACACACTGTTATCATATCTAGTATTTTAAATAGAGCAGTAATAACTCTAAAAACCCTGAGAATATATTCTGCCAACTAAACCTACATGATACTATAATATAGCTTTTAATCTTATTACAAAATATTTATAACCTTTTAAAATAGAAAAATAAAGTAGGGCAGTGCCTGTGGCTCAGTGAGTAGGGCACTGGCCCCCTATACTGAGGGTGGTGGGTTCAAACATGGCCCCAGCCAAACTGCAACAAAAAAGTGGCTGGGCGTTGTGGCGGGCGCCTATAGTCCCAGC